TTTTCCAGCACTCGGCGCACAGGTACTCGCGGATGTTGTCGTGCACGCGCATGTGCTCCTTCAGCATGTCCTTCCTGGCGAAGGACTTCCCACACTGCTCACAGGCGTGGCTTTTCACACCTGGGAAGCAAACACGTCCAACTTGCAGACCTGGAACTCCGTACCCGTGGGCACCACATGCAGGAGAGGCACGGCCCCGCCCGTAGCGGGGAGCAGGGCCCGCGGAGCCCTCCCTTCCTCCGCCAGGAGCAGCACGGGGGCCAGGGCGGTGCCGGAGGGGTGGGAGGGGCTCCCGCAGCGCGGGCGCCGCATCCTCTTGCGAAAGGCTACCTGTGTGGATGAGCTTATGCCGCTCCAAGTTCCCGATGCTGTTGAAGATCCGCCCGCATATCTCGCAGGGGTGAATGTACCTGAAACCAGATGCAGCCTCAGGATGGGCCGCACGGCCCCGCGGGGCCCGCAGCAGCAGGATGCACTTTCCCAGGCGCCTCTAACAGCAGGTGGGCTAAAATGGTGCCACGGATACATGGGTGATGAGGGACCCAGAGATGTTAGCCTCCGTGTGACCTGAACTGTGCCCCCCCCAAATTCACACTATGGAGTCCTGGCTCCCAGCACCTCAAAACGTGACTGTGCTTGGAGATGGGGTGCTTACAGGGGTCAAGTCAAAAATGAGGTCGCTAGGGTGGGCCCTAATCCAGTATGGCTGGTGTCCTTATAAACAGGGACACAGAGGCATGCACAGGTGGGAGGCCACGAGGACACAAGGAGAAGGCAGCATCCAAAAGCCAAGGAGACAGGCCTGGACCAGACCCTCGCTCACCGCCACAGCGGGAACCAGCCCTGCTCCATCTAGAACCTCCGGCCTCCAGCACTGGGATAACGCTATTCTGCGTTCACACCGCCCACCCGGCAGCCCCAGCAGACTAATAAGCTTTTAACAAGGCTGTCGGCTGACTCGCTGGGACACACAGCATTGATTACAGGCTGTAGCCAGATGTGGGACCGGCATTCTTGAAACCTAATTACTGTGGGGGAAAGGGTCTCTGGTTGTATGTAGGCAGGCCTGCAACGCGGCCTCCCGTGTGGTGAGTCCAGGAGAGGGTGCGAGCTGGGAGGGGACTGAAGGCCTAGGGAACAAGCAAGGCTAGCGCTTCCCCTGACCTGGCCCGGCCCAGGGCTCCCGCAGGAGACGGAAGCTGCTCTGTGCTCCAGACGGCTCGTTAGAGCGCCTGCCTCTCTGCGAGGAAGCAGCCCTCCCTCCGCACTACCCCGGACGCCGGACTCCCGCCCAGGAGGCCTCACTTCTGCACATTGGGGTCCGGCAGGTTCTCGCGATGGATGACCATGTGGGCGTGGTAAGTGGCCTTCAGGGCAAAGCGGCGGTTGCAGATGCTGCAGCCGTAGCCCTTCTCCTTGTGCACCTCCATGATGTGCTTCAGGTACTCCTTCCCGCGGCCAAAGGTGAGCTGCGGACACGCACTCGGTTCACACGTGTGCACTCAGCCCGGGACCTCCGCAGCTGATGCTGCCCCGCCGCGCACCCAGGCGCCCGAGACGCCGGTGAGAGCCCACTCCCCAGCAGAAGAGGAAGGGACTCCCTTGGGCAGGGCCCGCGCCAGGCCAAACCGTGAGGCCGGGGGAGTGTAACAAACGGACCCCAGGTCCTCCTGTACCTCCCAGCAGGTGCACCCTCCTGGCCGGCTTCCAGAACCCTCCTCCTCTCCACTCACCCACCCACCTGACCTCTGTCTCTCGCCCATGCCCCTGACAGGTGCACAGGTGCCAAGGCCCGTGTAGAACACAGGAACCTGTGCTGGGCAGGAAAAGAGACCGCGGCTCCTGGAGCAGTGAAGCCCCAGAGACAAGGCCCATACATGCCGTGAAGACGGGGAGCACTGGGTCCTCAGAAACAAAACGCCCCTCTAAGCAAGGCCCCCTGCCGTCCGTGGGGCAGGCAGAGGTGAAGGAGGAGGAGAGAGGAGCCCCTGCAGACACGGATCTCCCCGGGTCAGCCACACAGGCATGGTGGGCCAGACTG